CACACGTACTCGAGGAAACACTTCAAGTTGTGCCATGAAGATCATAAATACCACAAGGGAGCTCGCCTCCCTGGACGGCGGCTTTCCGCTGAAAGGAAACCCAGGCAGAAACCCGCGGACCCGGCATCAGCAGGGTTCGTCCGGGCCGCCTCTTGGCCCGTCCATACCGTCTGCTACCATGAGTGTATGGCCCCTGTGTGTGAGGTGAGTGTGTGTGATGTGTGGTGTCTGGTATGTGTGTGCCTGTGTGGTGTGTGTGTGTGCACAGTGTGTGTGTGATGTGTAGTGTCTGGTATGTGTGTGGTGTCTGGTATGTGATGTGTGGTGTCTGCTATGTGTGTGCATGTGTGGTGTGTATGTGCACAGTGTGTGTGTGATGTGTAGTGTCTGGTATGTGTGTGGTGTCTGGTATGTGATGTGTGGTGTCTGCTATGTGTGTGCATGTGTGGTGTGTGTGTGTGATGTGTGCACAGTGTGTGTGTGATGTGTGGTGGTTGGTATGTGTGTGCCATGTGTGGTGTGTGTATGCACAGTGTGTATGTGATGTGTGGTGTCTGGTATGTGTGTGCATGTGTGGTGTGTGTGTGCAGTGTGTGTGTGTGATGTGTAGTGTCTGGTGTTTGTGTGCATGTGTGATGTGTGGTGTCTGGTGTTTGTGTGCATGTGTGATGTGTGTGTGATGTGTGGTGTCTGGTATGTGTGTGCATGTGTGGTGTGTGGTGTGTGTGATGTATGTGTGCACAGTGTGTGTGATGTGTGGGGTGTGGTGTGTGGTGTGTGTATGTTGGGTAAGACCCACCGCAGTGATTCTGATGAACCCAGATGACACCCAGATGTCCTAGGAGGCTCTGGGCGGCTCCAGCCCTGGGTGAGCCCTGCGCCCTGTCGTGTGTGTAGGGGTGGCAGGACGGTGTCCCCGCTCTGCTGTCCAGGCATGGTGGTTGTGCCTGTGTGGGGTGGTCACTGCCCCCTGTCCGGGCTGTGAGCCTGGTCCCGGTGCCTGCCTGTGCCCAGAGCCAGTGCTCAGTGAGCCATGCCCGTGGGGTCCTTGCAGCTTGGGGGGAAGTGACAGCAGGCAGACCCCCACGCCCCGGTCTGCCTCGCAGGGCTGGGAGGGCCGTCCCCTGGCTTCCTGAGCGTCGGGTGGTCCCCTGGGGGACTCACGCATCGGCCCCTCCGGACAGGCGTACGAGCGCGGCATCTCGCTGTTCAAGTGGCCCAACGTGTCAGACATCTGGAGCACCTACCTGACCAAGTTCATCGCCCGCTACGGCGGCCGCAAGCTGGAGCGGGCGCGGGACCTCTTCGAGCAGGCGCTGGACGGCTGCCCTCCCAAATACGCCAAAAGTGAGGCGGGCGGGGCGGGCGGGCACGGGGGCGGGGCGTCCCAGGCCGGGCCACCGGCCTCTGACCTGCGCCGTTCTCCCCGCCCCGCCGCAGCCCTGTACCTGCTGTACGCGCAGCTGGAGGAGGAGTGGGGCCTGGCCCGGCATGCCATGGCCGTGTACGAGCGCGCCACCCGCGCGGTGGAGCCCGCGCAGCAGTACGACATGTTCAACATCTACATCAAGCGGGCGGCCGAGATCTACGGCGTCACCCACACCCGCAGCATCTACCAGAAGGCCATCGAGGTGCCCGCGCGGGGGCCAGGCAGGGGGGAGCACCCGGGGGACGCCCCTCGCCTCACGCGCGCCCTCCCTGCCGCAGGTGCTGTCGGACGAGCACGCGCGGGAGATGTGCCTGCGGTTCGCGGACATGGAGTGCAAGCTGGGGGAGATTGACCGTGCACGCGCCATCTACAGCTTCTGCTCCCAGATCTGCGACCCGCGGGTAGGGCGGGGCCCTGGGGCGGGCAGCTGGGGGCCCGGAGGCGGCCTTGGCCGGCCAGCTCACGCCCTTGCTCCCGCGGTCCCTCCGCAGACGACCGGCGCCTTCTGGCAGACCTGGAAGGATTTCGAGGTGCGGCACGGCAATGAGGACACCATCCGGGAGATGCTGCGCATCCGCCGCAGCGTGCAGGCCACGTACAACACGCAGGTCAACTTCATGGCCTCCCAGATGCTCAAGGTGTCGGGCAGCGCCACGGGCACCGGTGAGCAGCCGCCTCCCCCGGGCCCACACGGGCTCACTGGCCTAGGTCACTGCCCGGCCTGCACCGCCCACGCCTGCTTGTATGGCGCCCAGCTGGGCCTCCTGACCTCGTGTTGGGGACTCCCTGGGGTCTGGGGGTGCTGGTGAGCCCGGAGTGGGCCTGCCCGCGGCTTAGCCCGTTCTGCCTGCAGTGTCCGACCTGGCTCCGGGGCAGAGCGGCATGGACGACATGAAGCTGCTGGAGCAGCGGGCAGAGCAGCTGGCGGCCGAGGCGGAGCGGGACCAGCCCCCGCGGGCACAGAGCAAGATCCTTTTTGTGAGGTGAGAGTGGCCAGGAGCCGGGAGGGGGACGACCCTGCGGGCCCCGAGCCAGCTTGTTCTGGGGAGGGAGCCCCGCTGAGGCTGTGCTGCGGCCCCACCCCCAGGAGCAATGCCTCTCGCGAGGAGCTGGCCGAGCTGGCCCAGCAAGCCAACCCAGAGGAGATCCAGCTGGGCGAGGACGAAGACGAGGACGAGATGGACCTGGAGCCCAACGGTCAGGGCTGGCCCCGCAGGGGAGGGGCGGGACCAGGCCGGGGTGGCATCTCCGAGTCACTCCTGTCTCCTCCCCTTCTCCCACAGAGGTGCGGCTGGAGCAGCAGAGTGTGCCGGCTGCAGTGTTTGGGAGCCTGAAAGAGGACTGACTGTCCTCCCCCTCCCTACCCTCACCCCTACCCCCACCCCCAAATACAGCTTCATTTGTACAACCAAGGCTCAGCCTCCTTCCTGCCGCCCAGGTGCCCTGGACTGCCAGCCGGCTCAGGAGTGCCCTGGCCCCAGGCCCCGATTGGCTAGTACGGTAGGTGGGGCAGTGGGCCCTGGGCCAGGGAGCCACCCCTTCTTACCCTGCAGAGCCAGTTCTGCCTGAGGCCTTGAGTCAGGCCTGCCGAAGAGTCCTTGAGCCCAAAGCCTGCGGGGGTGGGGATCTGACTCCTGGCTGTCCCCCAGGGCCAGGGCAGCAACCCCCAAGGGCCTTGGAGCCACAGGCCCCAACCTGCCCTGTGACCTGTCAGCGGCCCAGGAGCCAAACCTCGGCTGTGGCCAGGGCGTGGTCCTGCCCTTAAGCCTTGGGAAGCCATTAGCGGGCTCTGAGCGATTAAGGGGTTTTAGGCATCAAGAGACATAATCAGATTTGTGCTTCAGGCAGGTCCCACAGGCTGCCTGCCGTGTGGGCAGAGGCAGCTGGGGGCGTGGGCGGTCAGGGTGAGCCAGCAGGACCTGGCCAGCCTGGCTCAGGGTCGCCGTGCGGGCCCCGCACACGAGACGCCCTGGTGGGTTCTCAGCTGCAGGACTCGGGAGAGAAACAGCCCTGGCTCAGGGGCAGTAATTGAACCTGGAAATCAGGACTGGCTGGCGGGGGAGACGGGCCAAGTTAGAAGTTGGCCGGGGCCCAAATGGCAGGCAGGGCCTCCGACAGCAGCCACAGTAGGAGGAAGATTAAACTGGGGGTGGGGGTGGCCGGCAGGAGGGCCGCAGACCTTGGCAGAGGCCACGCTGGGGCCCTGGAGGGGGCAGAAGAGACAGGGCTGGGGTGAGGGAGATGGGAGCCCCAGGAAGGGGTGGATACTCTGCTTCTCTTTAAATTATTTTATTCAAGAAGGGGGGGACAGACAAGGGGACCGAGCTGAGCCCTGAGTCCCTGAACCTCCCAGCTCAGCCCCCACAGCAGGACCAGACTCAGAGTTAGGGGGTGGGGGCTCCAGCCCCACCCGGACAAGGCCGGGGACAGACAGGACCCAGGAACAGCCGGACTGTCCTCCGGGAGGGCGGGGCTACTTGGGGGTGCCACCGCCCTTCTTGGGCGTGGTGGGCTTCTTGCTCTGCCAGAGGTGGCCCTGGATGGTGAAGGCATCCACGCTCATGGACATGGTCTTGGCGGGGATCTGGGTGAAGCGCTTGCGGTCCGAGTTGTACTTGTAGATGCCCTCGACCATGGCGGGCGTGACGGTGCGGGGGCCGTAGCCCGCCAGCCGCGACAGCTCCTCCGTCTCCCCCGACAGCGTGTACAGGGCTCGGAACTGGCAGCTCGAGTCGCGGAAGAGGATGAGGAAGTGGTTGGCTTTGCTCTTTTCAATTTCCTGGGCGATGCGGAGCCGGGGTCAGCGGGGCGGGGGCGGGGCCTGCCCTCCCCCTCCACCCCCACCACCGCGGGCTCACCTCGAGAATGCGGTTTTTCTGCGGTTCGTTCACCTTCCCCGCCAGGCAGCAATGCGACAGGGCGTTGTGGATGATAAACTTGTTGGACTTGGCGCTAGGCTCCTTGTACAGCCGAGGACCTAGGGGTCGGGGCGGTCAGCGAGGGTGGGCGGCGCCAGGCGAGGGCGCTGTGCGTGCGTGCGTGCGTGCGTCCCCCGGCCCCGCTTACCTGTGTACTCGGGCACCGAGGCGGGCGAGGATGCGTTGCTGCCGTTCTCCCAGTCCCGATCCCGGCTGCCGGGCAGACGGCTCGGGGACATGAGGCCGGACGGCGACGGGGCCCTGCGTGTGGAAGGCGTGGGATGGAGCTGGGGTCGGCGTGGGGAAGCCGCCAGCAGGCAGAGGGACCCGCCCGGCTCACTGCGGCACAGGCGCTCCCCAGAGTCGCCGCATCCTCTCATCCCCTAACCTGGACACTCAGGTCCACTCGTGCACACACGCCCCTCCCTGTCAGGGGCCCATGCATGAGTACTTCAAGAAATTCATGGAAAATGTATTATGAAAGAAACTACATGGGTTTTTTTTGTACCAAAATAAGCTTTTCTTTTGAGAGACAGAGCCCCTTTTTGCTGGCTCATTCCTCAAGTGCCCACAGCGCATTAGCAGGAAGCTGGAGTCAGGCGCCAGACACTCCCAACGTGGGGCTGGGGGTCCTGACCACCAGGCTAAACACAAGCTTGCACAGTGGCCTGGCTGCTCACAGGAGCTGTACCCTACCCGAGGTTCCTACAGATGCACACCCCCTCACAGGCCCTGGAACTCACCGAGATGGCCTCTTCACACCAAGGTTGTTGGAGGCCTCGTTGGCCACGGTGGACAGGGACAGGGTGGACTGGGAGTAGACTTTGCTGAGCCGCGAACCTGAGAACAGGAGGAATCAGACCCCTGAAGCCCTCTCACTGCCACAAGTACCCCGAGGGGCCCTGGCCTAGCAAGCAGGCTGTAGCTGGAACCTGCCCAGGTCCCCTCCCTCCTCCACAGCCCATGAGAGCCTGACCTACATAGCTGCTATGGGGAAGGGGGAGAGTGTTCCCAGCTGCCCACAACAGCTGGGGCCAGGCTGGGAACTCAGCCCTGGTCCCCCACATGGGTGGCGGGAACCCCAGTATTTGAGCCATCACCACGGCCTGTGTGCACTAGCAGGAAGCCAGAGTCGGGAGCTGGAGCCAGGAACCAAGCCCAGCCCCCTGATGTGGCATACAGGCACCCTAACTAGCGATTGCTCTGCCCCCAGCCCTGGAGGAGGGGGCTTCAGCCAGCAGCACTGGGCCAGCCCCCACAGGCAGCATCTCACCCCCTGACACCCCCAAGCCTGCCTCAGCCATCTGGCCACAGGGGTGTGACCCCTCTACCCCACTCACGGTAGGCCCCCACATCCCTATGGCATCCCCTCCCCAGCAGGCCCCACCCCCACAGGCTCCTCACCCAGCAGGCCGCGGGCCGGGCTTCTCGCCAGAGCCGAGTCATCACAGCAACCGGAGCGTGGCCGGGGGGCCCTCCGCCCGCCCCGGCCCGGGCCCCCGCTCCCCGCAGCCCGGGGCCGCAGCACCTTGTCCAGGTCGTCCATCAGCTTCAGCTGGGCCCGGCGTTCGTACTCGAGCCGTGTGAAGTCCCCCCGCCGGGGACCCACCTCCTCTTCGGCAGGAGCCCGGGCGGCGGGGGCCGGGGTTGCTGCTACTGCTGGGGCCGCAGCAGGTGCAGGGGCAGCAGGGGCTGGGCTAGGAGCCTCCTCCTGGGCCAGCCTGCAGACAGAGGGGAGGGGGCAGTCAGAGGAAGGCGTGGGGTGGCGGGACAAGGGCCGGCCTCGGGGCCACCTCACCTGGCAGCCTCCTCCCTCCGCTGCTCCTTCTCCGCCTCCTGCCACTGCTTGCGCCGCTTGGCCTCCTCGGCCCGCCGCTGCTGCCGCTCCAGCAGGCTGGCCCGCTTCTGGGCCATCTCGTCCTCGGGCTTGTCTTCATCCTGGGGCACACACCCAGTGCAGCTGGCCACCCCTCCCCGACCTCCCGCCCGCCCCAGGCTGCCGGCACTTCCACCTGTCCTTTCGTCGTCCTCACTGCCCTGAAGGCACCGAGTGGGCACCTGCTCTCTGCACAGCCCTGAGCTGGGGTGGCCGCGACAGGGCTAGGGGGAATGGTGCACAGTGGCCAGGGAGTGGAGAGAAGGCAACAGGCGCCAGCTGGGGCTGAGAGATGATGGTGGCCCAAGCTGAGGGTGCCAAGAGGAGGGAGTACAGCCAGACCCCAGTGGGTCAGGGTCAGGATGGGGAACTGGCCTTGCTGGGGGAAGGAGAGTGGGGGAGAAGATGCCGTGTTTGCCTGCCCCCACCTCCTGTCTGTCTACCTATCTACTATGTTTCTGTCTGTCCACCATCCATCCCATCTATCTGGCCACCTACCACTGTCGGTCCCCACAGCTGGCTACCCATCCACCCACCCATCCACCGTTTGTTCACCCATCCACCACTGAGCTGCCTCCTGTCCTTCCATCTGCCCACCTGTCCCCTCCCACTCTGGCTCAGGTGACGCTCACCTTATAGAAAAATCCGAGCCCTGCCCGGGGCTCGCCCTCGGAGGACGCCTCTTCTTCTAAGGAGTCCTCAGCTCCAGGGGGACTCCCGTCTCCCTCCTCCTCGGCGGCGGGCTCTCCCAGGCTGCCCAGGGGGATCTCGATGAGGCCGGGCCGGGCCACAGGCCCCTCGGGAGGCGACCCCTCGGCCAGGAGGATGGAGGAGCGCGTCTGCACGGGCACCTGGCTCGGCGAGAACTTGCGCAGGTGGGGGAGGCTGTCGACGTCGTGCGGCGGTGTGAGCACCCTGGTCAGGGGCGCGAGCCGCAGCTCAGCCGGCCGGGTGTGCTTCGGGCTGCGGGGCGCTGGGCTGGGGCCTGGCCCGGGGCTGCGCCGGGCAGCCGGGGCTCGCCGGGCAGGGCTGGGGGATGCAGCTTTGGGCCCCGTGGTGGGGCCAGGGATGACCCAGGCAGCAGGTGCCGGGGCAGGCACGGGGGCCTCGGGCGGGGCCAGGAGCCGCTGCTGCTGGTCCGTGAGCCTCTGCATGTCCCGCTGCAGCGAGCTCAGTGCGGCGCTCAGCTTGCTCACCGCTCGGTTGTAGTCCCCCAGCCCCTCGGGGGGCACCGGGCCCAGCTCCGGCGAGAAGGTCACTGACTTGGGCCGCGAGGACGGCTCACCCTGGCCCTCGCCTGCTGGCCGCTCGCCACCAGGGGCCGAGCTCGGCTCTGCCTCTGCCTCCGCCTCCGCCTCCGCCTCCCCTGCAGCCTCCCGAGGCTGCACCTGCAAGAAGGCGCTTTTTCCGAGTCGTTGGCGGTGCTTGGCGAAGATGGCCTCGATCCGGCGCTTCTGGGCCTCAATGGCCCGGCGCTTCTCCTCCAGCCGGGCTCCGAGCTCACTCATCTCAGAGCTCAGGGCCTCGGGCGCGGCGGGAGCGGGCGTGGGGGACCCCGCTCCAGCCTCCGCCTCGGCCTTCACCAGCTGTTTCTTGCGTTCGGCAAAGCTGGTCATCTTCACTTCGGAGTTGGTGGCCGCCGGGGACGAGGCTGCTGCCTTCGGCGACCCCTCAGATGGGGCTGGCGGTTTCGAGACCTCCCCTGCCAGGCAGGGGGATGGTTTCGAGGGCGTCTCGGGGTGGGGCACGTAGATGGGAGGTTTGGTGGGCCCGTCGGGCGGGTACGAGGAGGACAGCGGGGGCTTGGCTGGACCCTCGGGGGAGTGCAGGTAGAAGCTGCCGTCAGCAGCCCCATCCGGGAGCAGCCGGGGCTCGGCACTGTGGATGATCTGCAGGGCTTCCTCGATGGTGGGCAGGTCGCCGGGCTCTGGGGTCGACTGGCCAGGGGTCCGGGCCGGTGCAGGACGAGGGGGCCCCAGACTGTCTGAGCTGACGGAGCGCAGTAGCACGGGGTCTCCCATGACGACATCCACGTCGCTGTCCAGGCCAAAGGGGGTGCTGAATGACACGGCCTGGGAGAGGGGACGGCTGGGCAGCCGGAGGGAGGGGGGTCAGCCCCTGGGGCGGCCTCAGCCCTCCCGGCCCCAGCTGGCTCCACTGTCCGGGGATGGGGTAGGGGTGGGGGCTTAGGATGGGCTCACCTGAGCTGGCGGTTCCAGGCTTTGCCGAGGGCCTCCATGTGGGACATGGACGGGGAGGACTTCAGGGAGCCTGCGGTGGGGGCAGGGGGAGAGAGGGAGTGGTTACCATAGGGCCGACCTCTCCCAAGTCACTAGGCAAGTCACTAGGCAAGTCACTGATGGGAAGATGCCAGAAATGGGTGCTGCGCTATACAGTGTCCCCAAGAAGTCACTGGGGAGAGTCACCCTGGGAGACAATGTAAAGTCAGCTGGGGCATTGTTTTGGGCGGGGGTCCCCAGGGACGGAAGCCGCCACCCCCCCTCACCTGTGGATCCTCGGAGTGGAGACTGGGGGCCACCGGGTGACAGGAGCGGGTGGCGGAAGTTGAAGACGGGAGAACTGCCAGAAACTTACTTCAGCCTTGGGAGGAAGGGACCCCCCTATTTCCTCCCTCGCCCCCCCGCAGGGGGATGGAGACGAGGGTGCCCCCAAGCCCCCACCCCAGTGCCCACAGGGAGACTGTACCTGCCACCACTGGTGTTCTGAGGGGGGGAGGCCTCGGTGCCCCGGGGGGAGGCAGCTGCAGCATAGTGGGGGGGAGCAAGTCAGGCAGGCTGTGGCTCCCCACCCCCACCCCCACCCCAGACCCCGGGGCTCACCGTGGCCATCGGGCAGGTCCTTGGCCTGCACGAAGTCAGGCTTGAGCACCTCAAAGCACATGAACATCTCAGCCAGCAGCACCACCAGGTTGACCTGGGTGGGGGCGGGGGTGGGGGCGTCAGCCGGCAGGACACACCCTGGGCGCCCCTGGGGCCCACGAGGCCGGAGCCGGCCTTACCTTGAGAGGCGGAGGTACGTACAGCAGGTCCTCGAGGGCCAGGGGGCAGCCCCGAGGGAGGCGGGAGGCACAGAAGTCCTGCACCAGCTGGAGGTTGTACAGGCTGTCGGCCACCGACATGGGGTCCTTGAGGCACACCTCTGCGGGGACAGGATGCCTGGGGCTCCTGACGCTACAGGGACCCCGAGGGACGCCACCCAG